ATTCTGGATTAATTCCAGAAATCCAAAAATGAACCGCAGAGAAGAATGCCTCATTATCACGCGTGATATAGGGCAGTATATAAGACTGCTTTTCTGATGTGAGGGGCACATTATACTTCCATGTGATTTCTGTGCGGTTGGTCTCTACGTGACATACTTAGTGGAAACCTCATACGAAGTGGTGAGTGTGCAAAGCTGTGTTCAACGTAATTGAAATCTTGGTTTAGAGTTTCTTTGTTTGGTTATGGAGTGGCCTAGTAGACTGCTATCAACTTGACTTTTCCAGACTCTGAGGAAGGCGAAATCCGCCGAAACGTCAGCTTATTCGTGAATATAGAATAATAACACCGCGCGTTTGCTCAACAAAAATACGAAGAATAACTTGATCAATGCCGAAGTTAATAGAAAGTCGGTCGCGGGAGTTACGGCAATCAATTTCGTATTGTACTTGACGAAGCTTTGGTGTGCTTTGCGAATGCTTTTCCCACCCTCTGCAGCTTCGATCATTACTGCTGCTCTTCTCTCTTTAAGATCCTCTTTTAACGCCTGTCTGCATTGTTTTGCACGTTCGGACCTCAGTTCGCGGTTGCCTGCAGCTCGAGCGACTCCACGCCGGTGTATCAACTCGAGAGTCTCTGGAGACAGACGTCTCTCGGCGACTTTCGAACTTCCAGCTTTCACAGCGCTAACGTGAAGATATCGAATGAGCCGATCGTATTCTTCGTCGGTGTTATCGACAACGGCATCTTCCCAACAGCCGACTAATGGATTGAATAAGTCGCAGTTTGCGGTGTTTCTGGGACTTCGGTTTTGGAACGAAGGAGATGATGGTCCGATCTCTTGTAGAATTTTGGGACAACAGCGACACTGGTTAGGCAAAACCTTCTATTTACTATGATGTAGTCTATTTCGTTATGGTACTCTCGATTGGCAGACTCATACGTCCAGTGCTGAGGGTGGGGCTTCTTGCGAGTTGCCATGTATAGCTTTGGTCGCCTTGATAAACTCAGACAGCCGCTCACCCTGTTCGTTCCATTCAAATTCGTGGATCCAAAAGTGATGTTCTTCAGACGTTCTTCTTGGTCTAATCTTGGAGTTGAAATCTACATTGATGACCTTAAAGAATGTGTGGTCTTCTCTTTAGAACTTCTCCAAGTCCATACAGAACGCTTCGACTTCTTCTTCGTCACAGTTTGATGTCGGAGCGCAAACGACGAGGATTGTCAAAGTTGGTACTGATCCACATCTTTTTAATCGTAAACGTCCGACTCGAGTTGTAAGTTGATCAAATGAATCGATGTTCATGGACAAACTCGTGTTGACGAGAACGTCAACGCCGCCAACTCCTCTACTGTCGCATATTCCGAGGAACAGTTCTTCTCCGGTGTCATAGACGATCTTGAAAGGCTGGCGTCTTCTCGTCTCGGCAAGGCTGATGACGTCGTACTTTATCCTTCTTGCTTGCATGAGCAAGTCTTCTATCGAGGACTCGGACGCAAGTGTACGTGCATTATAGGTACAGATCGCCACCTTAGTTTTTTGCGATCAGGGCAGCTTCCATTGGCTCTAGGATTTTAGCAGCCTCTCCGTACTCGTCCTAACCAACGCTGCGAAATTGGGAGCTCTTTCGGGGTCAGGGGAATGACGCCCGTTTTTTTTTTACTGTGTGTAACATTTTGATACCCACGTATAGCTTACTGGGCTCTGAAAGTGGGCGCTGGGTATACTCACGGGTAGCTTGTCCGGCTCTGCCTGAGTGGACATGGAGCTTACTTGTTGGACGCGACTCCTAACCGCCTCCCATATACTTCCCTGTCACTTGATTGCAGACTTTTGGCCGAATTGACTCGTAGAATACAATCCGCATAAGCGAGAACACACCCACACACGCATGCATGAATACGCCTAGGAAATACAGAAAGTATGTGCCAAGTCCGCACAGCAGAAACAAACAGTCCACCCCTGGATTCACCTGCATCTCAGGGAAGCAAAGATCGCTTTTGGTCCGCGATTAACCCGCTATCCACCACCTAGGGACACGCCACGTAGCCTCACGGCTAACCAGCTCGACATCCCTCATGTGAGGGAGATTCGTGGTTGGAACATGTAACAATAGAAAATTCGGTCGCATTGAGCACTAGTTAACACCAGCTTATATATACACATTGATTCATATGAACAACAAACAAACCTGTATGAAATGCCTACTATTGAAGAAACGTGGATTAGTGCCACACTTGGTATTTTTTGGTCGTTCACGCACCCACCTCAATCTAAGAGAAAGACAAGGCAGAAACGTTCTAGGTGGTCTTGGAGAAGCTCCACAGAGAAAAGCACACCTCATTTAAAAATCTCACCGGGGATTTCAAGACAATTACTGGGTAGAGGAGAACACATCAAGAACGTCGCATCGCGACCCACGAATTAGAATGAAACAACCAAAATGAAAGAGTGACTGAGGTTATAAGTACGAGAAAGATCATGCACTGTAATACATAATTCTAGAACCTCCAATCTTAACGTTGTACCTGGGAGTCACCCAATGGAGAGTATCGTAATAAAATACAATATGTCACAGTAAATCGAAGGTTTCGACCATCCGACGTCTGCGCGATCACAAAATTTTGTACGGGGTCGGATTATTTCCTCCTTGGCGCAAGACTACATTACTGTACAAAAGAGAGAAAGCCGAAAAGTTCAAGAAAAGAAACTCCAAAACCACTGCGAATTTGACTTTATTGGGATCCATTTTCGCCTCCTGGCAAGATACCATTATCGATGAAAAATAAGACCGGTTTATCGAACCTCATCACGTTAGCGCTATAAATGCTGAGAGTTCGAAATTAACCAAGAGACGCTTGTCTCCAGGAACAATTGAGCTAATATGTCAATGTGGAATCGCATTAGCCGTAGCCTAGATGTAGGCCTGGCTACCACGTAAGCAAGATGAAAAACCATCGGCGCTACCGGATGGACAGTCGAGGGAACAATGTTGGGAGCACACGCAAGTGAGATCAGAGGGAATACGATGTTCCGACCCACGTGAATGGTCAAAAAACAAGGACGTTGTTGTGCACATAAGAATGTGGAAAATGACATGGAATAGAACTGGACAACAATCGATGAACAACAGACGTTAGCGAATAGATTCCTGGAACGCACAGCAGGAAGGAGCCGACCCAACGGTCGGAGCTATTCATGAAAACCATAGAAGAAGGATATAAGACTCAGCGTGTCCCTACAGTTAGCAGAATCCACTGGCTACTCTTGCAAGCAAGAGGGATAAACAAAAAATTTATTTGCGCCTGTTCGAGACATTCGGCAATCAGCGAAACGCAAAGAGGTGCGGGCGGTAGGTGACGCGTAAGTCTCATACAATCCTTACCCTTAGACGAGCATTACTTAACAATTTACAACAAGTTGATAACTTAACTATAAAGCAGGTTATTATTTACGTCACATTTATATCAATAAGCTGTACATTTCTGATCAATGAGATCCTCTAGACCATATCAGCAGAGCTGCAAAGTAATACTATCGAGTTTTATAGACGACTACTTACACTAACCTTAATAAACTAACATCATTAGCGTAGCAGCCACAAGTTTCAAAGGGCATACGCAATCCTATTCGTTAATTCTCAACTAGATGAGTGTTGTGTCGCCGTTCGGATGATTTTCTTTCGCAAATGTGTCCACACGAGCAGAGAGATACCTAAGCAGATTCGCCATGTACTGAGTAGTACTGTGAATTGCTGAAAAATATTTACAAAAATTATAAGCATATCGCTGAATTATGTCTAGCAACGTATAGCACCGGTGCAAGCGGTTTGTGTCACAATCTTCAATTTCAAGTTTCACTGTTACACTTAACAACTGACATTTACTCGATGGAAAAATTAGAAATTTTGTTCGGAACGGCCGAAATGTAAAGCATTAACAATAAGAGATCCTCAAATTTTGGCTACCACTATGAACTGCCGTGCACGGGCTCGATGCTGTTCATTTCGAGAACACAGATTTAATGACATATTCTGGTTTTGCTTTTAAACAATAAAAGCTAACTAATAAGCAAGATCATGGCGTATCTATTTGAATATTTTAAAAACCTGCCTAAAGACTGTTCCGCATACGACAAATTTCTTGAAAAGTTAAATCGCAGAGTCGTGCTAGCTGAGCACAACTTCCTAACCGTAGTAAACACGTATTACCGACTCATTTGAATAAAACAAACCACTACACAACACGCTACCTATTCTTTCCACAAACTTGCTAGGAAAAAAAAAAGACATTAAGGCACATAGAAGACGGTCCAAATATGCAAATCCAACAGAAGAGGGTTGTCGTTAGTTCCTTCTTAAGTGATGTGCGGGCTGGTACTCTCTTAAATTTAATAAGAGAATAAAAGAAAAGCAAATTTATTGACGAAAACACTCACAAGATATTGGTATTCGTGTTGTATGTAGGTTATAATATCTGTTACTTCAGGCTGTACCATTGCTCTTGTTTTCTTAAATAATGCGTATGCACAGAGCATCACAAGTTCAGACGTAAATTGTCATTCACCTGCGCGTTTCCTGAAATGCGAGTCATCATGACAACTTCGTACAGCTTCTAATACTCTTCATTCCATGACAAGCCACAGATTCCGATGTAAAATTCTTCAGATGTTCCCATGCTGCCTATCGTGACATTAAGTCACAGATGTAGCCTTCTATGCTATTTTCCAGTGTTACACGACTGTTTTATGAGCCTAATTTTCCACCTACTGCAGATCAACAATGCGCGTTTTCCACTGTTACCATATACCGCTCCGACAGAGAATCTTGAAATTCACTTGACAAATATGTGGTGAGAAAGCTGGTGATGACTGAATGCAAAATACGTAATAAACACCGTTCTTAAGCAAAACCTTGGAAAAAAAAGTGCGCGAAATCAACGTGAGTTAACCACTGCGTCACTTATCTTACATGACGATTATGACGAGTGTGTTAACGTTGACGCATGCATTTTCAACTGAACACACATGTGGGTCACTTATTCGAAAAAATCGATGCTCACGACCGCCCTCTGGTTAATAAAGAGCTCCAGCCACTTCACACTCGTTTTAGCCAACACTAACGTGTGGAATGTCCCACGCATTCCAATTTCTTCCAAATATTTCAAACCCAAAGATTTACCGCCTCCTATTAGTTAGGAAGTGCTCATGGGTGTCGGACTGCGGTGTACAGCGGAAGATTCACTTCGTTCTCCATAACAGGGTCTCCACGCCGAGAAGGGCTCCTACATTTGAATCCGGAAGCATAGCTAAAAATGAACCAATATCAGGAATCATCACCCACCAAATTGATGGATTATGAACGGCCAACGAAGATGAATACGGGATAGGGAAATTCGAAACAGAGAGATGAAATGAGAACTGAAACTGTTTCGTACGACTTCTGTCCCCAGCAAGTTTCTTCTATAGGAATTCGCCCATGGACATGGTAGTCTCCTAACAGTACGACTCATGTGAAGATCGATCACATTCTAAGAAACAAAAGATGGTACCATTTCTCCATTCTGATATGATTCTGGCCTAAATCTGATCTCTGATTTCTCCTTGGATTGAGTCATAAGCTGTGAAAGAGTTCTTGTTATCGTCCAAGAAGAAGAAGAGACAATTCGCCAATGATGAGAACATTGTTAGTAAAATTCTTCTCTCATCTGAATGATAGATGAAGGTAGTGCCAAGCGAACACTACAAGCTGCTTGTTGAAGTAATTAAACGTGTACTGAACTCTGTATAGTTCCACAAACAAGAAATTCAGACCACAACTTCATTTAGCACTAAGGGGTTGCTCGAAAAGAGCACACTGAAGCTAGATCTCACTACAACACACCCAACATGGCCGACAATAAATGACAGCTGTAGAAGATCTCTGTAGAAGGATTAACATCAGTAAAGGCAGCTCAGCTCGGAAGAAGCTCAAAAAAGATCTAGTTGGAAGAAGTGACATCGACATTTTTGCGACTATAATGCTACGCTTCCCACCATGATGAAGGACGACGGGACCATCACTACATCCCGCCATGATATGGAATTGATAATGGAAAAGTTCTTTGCCGGGGGTAGAAAGTAGCGCAGTGCTTAGTGATGTGGTCGACCAGAAAGCAAAGGCGCTAGTTCGACCCATTCCCAACGCTCTCTTTCAATTAACGTGGGAACACCTTTGTTCGGCTACCTCCAAGACTGCAAGGAGAATTGACGAATTGACACCACCAGTATTCCACGACATTCATAAAGAAGACGAAGCCCTCAAGCAGCACGCGAAACAACATATAAAATTTTCGAAGACCACTGTGGACGACTAATTCGAGAAAAACGAAACGATTGAAGAGTGTTGAAATCCGCACAGCAGTTGTGATGAAGGATCTTGTAAAACAATGCAAACTATGAAACTTTTATATAAACCTTTTTCGCTTCGGAAGCCCCATCTTGAACTCCAAAATCCCCGTAGGTGAAAGGCCGCCTGGGATTCTACCCCTTGAGTTTCGAGTTGAGAAAGAAGGCACAGACCGAGGACCCGCTAATATCTACACAGATTTCTTTAGAACTGGAAAATACAATTTACATGTACTTCTCGCAGCCTGTGTGACATCTTACCTTCATAACGAAGAAATTTCAGAACAGTGCAGGACGTCTCGCACGATGATTCTACCCAATAAATGTGACCAAATGGATCTTCGTAACTGCACTCCAATATGCTTTTGAGCGTACTCTACAAGCTGTTTACGAATATTATCCTTTTCCATATATCAAAGACCTTGGGTGAGGCACAACCAGTTAAGCAAACAGGATTCCCACAGAGATTCTGCAGCATGGACTTCATATAAACCTACAGGTCATAGAATTCTGTCGGAAGTACCATCTGCCTCTTCTCTTAGCCTTTATGCACTAAGAGAAAGCGTGTAACAGCGGAAAATTACTGCAATCCTATCAGCGCTCCTCGAACAACGAGTTCACCCTTCGTATATAAGAATGTTAGCAGACCGTCATCGGAACTTCAGCACAAATATACAGCTTTCTCATCGATTCCTCACCACATGAATAGGAAAAGTGGTTCGACGAAGCGACATAACATCACCAAAGCTGTTTACTGCCGCACTGCTATGGATTATTAAGTCCTTCGATTGGGGCGAGAAAGGCCTTCGCGCTGATGGGACATTCCTATCAAACATTCGTTTCACGGATGACATCGTTATTGACTCAAGAAGTACCAGTAACGCAAATATGATGCTCAATGAACTCAACGAAGTGGAAAAAAATTGGACTGCGCATAAATAGAATGAAGACCCAGGTCATAAACAACCGATGATGCAAAGGCAATCAGAACAAATCGGATGATTCTCTGATTACAGTGATTACCTTACTCGTATACTTTGGGCGATGAATGAACATGGAGATCCACATGAAGAAGGAATCAGACAAAAGAAGGAGAGCAGTACGTGCCGCGTTCAAGCCACTTAAAGAAGCCACCGATCAACTAACGCACTCGAAAATCCGCGCTCTCCTTCTCGATTGAACAGTCCTGCCAGTACTTTGTTATGAATTAAAAATGTGGGCTGATATTTCAATCAGGTCAAAAAATGTGCACATCGCCTACAGAGCGTTTGAACAATGTCTTGTAAAATTTAACCGGCACTCACAACGGCTAGCTGGAATGCGCAGCTCAGGTCTTCGAAACGAATAGCATCTTCGGGATCCCACAGAGAATACACATCAATAACAGATAGAAATCCAAGCGGTGAGAACAGAATGAACTATTTTGTCAACGAAATACATAATCTGCATTAATTTTCCGCATTCAATAACATTTGTTTAAGTGGTATCAACAGCTCTGAGTGACAAACATAACGGAAAATATCAAATCATTTGTTGAGCACACCTTTTTCATCAAAGTCGTCACTGTATTACGCACAATTTCGCACATTTTACGGACCATTTCGGAGTCAAATCCAAAACAGTAAGTAGAGAAAACTANACTTATGTCATGTCAACCTAGTCTGCACGCAAGTGACGCGCTGCTTTGAGAACTGGTGGGAGTAGAAATTGCGGGGCAGTGCTACTACAGAATGATAGAACCAATCTAAAAAGCACCTCATGAAGAAACCCATAGAAATCCTTTTTTAAAAGCGAAGAGTACCTGCTTGCGATGTCGGGGTAGGTATGTATTAAATCTGTTAAGTTCCGCAGTGAAGAATCACCTGTCTCGTGCAACTCAGAAAAATCAAATGCCGCCCAATGTGAATCCAATATTTTGTAGTCCAGTCTATAGCAAGGACGAATGTATATATAAATATATAAAAGCATACACACATACGTGCATACATATATACATATATGTATACAGATACACATACGTGCATATCCTACGTAGGTATATATATATACATATATATATATATATATATATATATGTGTGTAACATTCATACCTCGCTCAGTTTAGTGAGAAAATGGATAATATCCTTGGAATCGAGTGCAGCCAGGCTAGGTAATCCGTCTGAATCAAACCAGGTTGGCTCAACATACGTATCCACAACGAATCTAGCTATACGATCCGCGCTATCTTCACTAAGATCCTGAAAAAGATCAAATAGGCTTATTATGAAAACATTACCAAAGACTTTTACTTTTCCCGCATAAAAATGCCGAAGAAAACCAGTTGACGACATGAAAACATAAACAGCGAAGAAAAATAGCAATTGACGAAAAATAAAAGTTAAATCAGTTTAAAATCGATAGAAGGCTTAACCAATACGCAATAACCAACACAACCAAATGCAAATAATGAGCATAGCACACAATGTTTGCTTCATTTTAAAAGCCTCTACGATGAGCTTAACCAGAATCCCAACATCTACTACTTCATTAGCTTCTCTGAGATCGACGACGTGCCGGAAAATTTGTGAAGCTTATCAGTATCGTATAATGCAAAAAAAAAGATCCAAAATAACATAAAACAGCTAGAATGGCAAAGACGAAACACGATGGCTAAAAGCACTAAGCAGCCAGAGGAATAAAAGGACAAATTTTATCTTCTTTTAAAATGGTAGTTAGCAACTCACCAAAAGGTTAAATTGTTGAACATAACCAAAACAATAAATGACTTTAGCACACAGCTCTTTAAATGCGTTGATTCCAATGAAAGTGATGCAGAAGAAATAGCCCCTTCTAGCTTTAAACAGTACAATTCATACACCCTGGCCCATAATAAACAAATCAACTTATTCTACCAAGAAAGTATTCCGACTTTGTTGAGGCCATAAAGAATATTTTCTCGGTGCTCCCCACGTGCTTCAAATCAGAAATTCAAAAGAGAGATCTCGTCCAGCATTCGACAATATGGTTTTTCCTGCGTGCTTTTTGCTTAGGTACGCAACACCTAAGTTGGAAATTTGATAAAATGAAATAAATTTCAACCACTTTTGGACGATTTGAACTCTCAAAGAGCTTCTAATCCCTCGCCGTTGTACATAGAAGTCTTTTCTAAAAATCAGATCAGCTCAAAGCTCCATAACGACTCCAGTGATCCAGAAGTTTTCGTAACTGCCGAAAAACAAGCGTCAAATGTTATATCTTAATGAGCGGCTTCAGACAGCAATAAATCCACGATAGGACGCTTTGCCCTCGTTGCTTATGTTTATTATTATGACGACGAACGATAGTCCTGCTCAAGGTTTTATCGACTCGTAATGGTGTATGAGGTGCTTGAAATCAAATCGCATATTTATTTTTTTTTTCGAAAATTTTTAAAAACGCCATTTTATACTAGACAGTTACATAAAATTTTAAGTATTTTTCAAACTTCAACTTTTGGAGCAAAGCGACCGGAGGGTAAACAAAATCTACTTGAGAAGAACGATTGTCCTGAGGAATCAGCTAGTAAATCTTGCTCTCTAACGAACGCGAAGTGAAACTAAGCTCTTGCAAATTTTTTGGTCACTTTTCGGCCGGTAATGCATACCGAACAACATGACCTTGCTCCACTTGATTCCACTACCAACCAAATATCAACTGAAGAGATTCGAAACTAAATCGTGATGAAAAATACAAATAAGAGAGATCTGATAAGAGTATCTTATGCGAATTCCTTCGCTTAAATTTCTTCATTTTTTGGAGCATCCGAGTGACTCTATGGTTAATTGAAAACTCTAGTGTAGTAGCAGATATATATCACTGTCGATCGTGGTTAGAAGTCAACAACAGCTTCTAAACAACTGCATATAACGACGACAACGCTATACGAGAACCATATGGTGGCTCAAAAAAGAAAGCAAACGAAAAATAGAAGACGAAAAATAATATCGTCTATGGCAGTAACATATGCGCGCTACGAAATGAAAGGAAGAATGAAAAAAACCTCACCCAGTGGAAGGTATGAAGAAGAATGTCGAATGTGGTTAATATTCCTAACTAACAGTTAGCCTGCATTCCAAACATATTCTATACGTATCACTTAGCTTAACTCTCATCATGACAAACTGCTTCCATGTTTACCTATTTCGATACCTGAAGCCATCCCCAAATGTCTCGTGGGTCCCAGTACTTCCTTCACGTTTTCCCTTCGTTCAATCATAAACCACGAAAGTGGTCAAATTTGTGCGTAGATTCGACGGCAAATTCAGATCAGCACCTCACTCTTCAATGATATTTCGAAGGCTAGTCGAGCGTGATTCTGACTGCTAACTCGGGCTAAGGAATAACCATGCTGTCGCTAGTTTTCATCGGTTGAGGATAGGCTTGCTGCCTTGCGTTTTGGATTACTCTTTTACAGAAGCTATTTATGCCACGACAGCAAAAGCTGCAATTTCGTCCACTGATCAACCATTAAAGCATGAGCTTTGCGCCCGACTTCATTACGCATCGCCAGAGATGAATGAATGCATATCTGCCCTCTACAATGATTTGCGGTAGCTCACCTATGTACCAAATGAGTGCCCGGCCCATATATCAAACAATAAGGACTGGATTACAGTTACGAAGAGCTCAAAAAAGGTGTGGTGGAGAAACTATGAACTATGGCTTGTTACACTAACGAAGATTCGTGGGTTGCGCAGTGGTCAGAAAAGCGCTGGAGTATGCATGTGGTCGTTGCTTCGAATCCGTACCCTTCGCAAATCAACCTTTCCATCTCTTCGATGTCAGCAAATTGGTACTGGACTTGTTCCAGAGGTTAAAAACACTCCCCTGACAAATCGGTAAGCCACCTTATCTCATTGTGAAGGGCCAATAAAGCATAGCGACTATTATTTTCACAAAACTTTCAATGTACCATGAAACAGTGCCAGTGTTTCAGTTAGATGGATCTATAAGATATCAAAACACCAACAATGGGTCCAAAAACCTCATGTTATAATACTGCTGTAGTTGGATAAGATGAATAAAAGTTGTCATTTGGTTTGTTAAGGAATTTCGAAGGTTACGTCAAATAACGAATAAACTTTTGCGGACGATCCACAGAGTGCAGTTGAAATGATAGCGAGGAAGCACTACAGTACAATAGCGTATAAATATAAGAAAAAAAACCCACATAATCCTGGTGACTTCCTCTTTTTACTTAATGGTGGAGACGTAGATACCAGTTCCCAGTATGCCTCGTCCTCAGGCATTGTCTTACTTAGGATACTTTTTATATGCACAACTGACAAAGAACTAGTCGAATTCCAAATATTTCTTCACTATTAACACTTAGCCAGTTTTCAATGAAGATTTCACTTTAAAAGTTAAAAATTTCCAATGTTGTAATGAATCACTAGGATAAAAGTATTTACCATTACCTTTTGATGGTCTGAATGGTATATTGATTGATACGAGATTAGAGGTACTGACAAATACACGAAACAAGAAATACTTAGACTAAAGGTTTCGAATTAATGCTCCATGCTTCATTGTGCTGTCGGCTCCATACACGGTTCCATTACGCAGTCGCCCACTACTTCTTCGTTCGGTAACGAAAGTACAAACAGTGATACCATCCATAGATGACGCAGAAAGCAAACACCCTACAAACACTGTCGTTCCGATTAACGTTGTATTCTCAACGATAAATATCAAGAAACTATTAATTGCCGAAAAACGATCTCTAAAAAACGTACTTTGCAACATTGAAACATTTGCTTCTCCACAGCGTATTTCGACTCCATGAGGAGCCAACACTTGATAATTGACCATTTGCCTAGCCTATAATTCTCAACAACATGGCAAAACAACGCACTTTTCGAATACTCATCCATACTACGACAATGCATTCGAAGAACACTTTACTACGCTTCCATACCTGATTGTTCTCATCTGAAAGATGAAGGAAACACATTAAACTTGCGCTACTTAACCTGGATACAATATCCAAAGTTGGATCGTAGAGGATACCAACGGTGTCATCGAACCGCACGGTACCGCCCATACTTGCATCCTCCGACACACCATTTGAGAACCAGCGACAAACTAGGATTGCCACGAAGGATATGATCTACTAAAATAATTACGCAAACCCATATAATTATCAATAAAAGAGTACTTCATATAAAAGACGAAGACCATTTAATCTCAGAATTACAATAAAATGTGGTCTTAACGGTCAGAAACATAAGTGGTACCAGTATACCCGCTTCCTTCACGGTAACAAGGTCAATCGTAAACACTATTCTCTGAAAGGTGAGAAAACAGATTCGACCATGTTTAGTGAGGAACGCAATGCCTTGCATTCTTCCATTCTGATGTTCAGGCTCACTATCCGGGAAGAATGACTGGAAACAGTAAGTTATACCAAAAATCCATCTAATAAATCACACGAATACTTACGTCAAAAATTAACAGCAACAATTCCTCGTCGCATACTCTCCGAGGTTTCTACGGGCAAACGTGCTAAAACCTCTTCCATCGGTACCATGTTGAAGAACTGGAAGAGAAAAAATACTGTAAGCTCTTAAGCAGATTACGCTGTCCCAAACAATTTCTGCAGGTAACAATTAAAATACAAGCACTAATTATTGCAGCTAATGCAGCTCAAATACACCAATACAACGATATTCCTTCAGCATCTCCAACGTTTTCAAAGAGGCCACTCGTACAAGTCCATTCTTGTCATTAATGCCATTCAGTATTATATATTTGAGTGCATGTTCAGTAGCACATAGGCAAGCTGGGGCGATGACTCATCCACTAAAACTCGTCGTTAGATCGAGCTCAGTTTTTACATTTACTTAAAAGTAATGGGTAATATAGGTGACAAAACAGTCCCTTCATTAAGTACTTCTCATGTCAATGTGTTTTTTCACACAGTCGAAATATCATCACAGTGTTCACTTGAGTGATTTTAAGCTTTTAAATCTCTTTCCTTCGTATATGTGGAGATAAATACTCACAAGATTCATTCTTAAATTGCTTAATAACCTGGAAATACGTCCCTCATATACCGTCAACCTTATACCAACAACGGTATCACGCGACAATATGTCTACAGTCTGAACAACAATCTATAACGACGAACAGAGATAAAACCTATTAAACAATCTGATAAAATAAAAGGATAAAGGATAAGGCTCTGGACGGTAGTCAATTCGTGCGGGATGCGCTATTCATTCGATTTTTTTAAGCACTGTTGGCGGTGACTGAATGCGTTTCTGGCCTTTACAATCACTCGCGTTGGCCTTCCGATGCATCGAACCAATGCTGTTATCCTCCCATAAAAGTATGATACCAATTTGCTACCCTGAGGCATAGAAGACTTAGTGGGCCTATGGCGCGAGGAGCGATGCCATGCGTATCGCAAGGCGTCTCCGACCACTGGGCTACTGGAGCTCCAAATGATAAAATATGAAGGTTAAACAGCAGAAAAAAACGCAAAAAAAGGTGAAACCATACACATGTCAAATACTGCTTGTTGAAATCTCGTTGTACATAGTTCCAAAACACGCTAAAAATTTTTGAGAACCTAAAATCGAAAAACCAGAACAAGCGATTAGCTGGAGGGATAAGATAGACTAATCTTCTTAGCTGCAATCATTCTCAAAGCTGTACAATCATCTTTCAACGTACTCATCAGATGGTGCGCTGCTTATGAAGGCATTTTGGTCGCACCTGGAATGTATAGTACATCTTAGGCAGACAAACTAATCAAGTAGCTATGTGCAATCTTAAAGGTAAGCCCTTCGAAAGGTGTAAAATATGACCGCACGGGAAACGAAAAGCTTACAAGATCATCGTCATCGAGGAGAGGATAAAACCCGAGTAAGATCGACGAAGCAGAGCAGCGATCATGGTGATTACAAAGATAGAAAAGCAGATAATACTTTATTTAAAAACGAAGAATATACGTGGGTATTTGCCTCGAGGCCAATCCAGAGCGCAGATCCGAAGCATCGAACAAAAGTTCAATCTACTGCCTTGTTCACATTTGGTACAGAAAATGTGGATAAAATCTAAGAGCCAACCTACATTATTTCCATAGAAGTCCGTATCATTCGCTTCTAAATTCCCACATGCACGAACTTCTTTGAAATATCCACAGCCATCAGGATCGCAGCGTTAACTGTCCCCGTAATCATCTCAGTTTCAATTCCTCTCAACAAGTCGCCGTCTTCTTTCGTTGCAACCATCTACTAGCAGTTTTAAATGACTTGATCAAGGTGGCCGTAGGTGGAGTTGAAAGAACGCTAAAGGAACAAGGTGTGGACCGATGAAAAAATTTGAAATTAGGAACAATCACTGAGTCATCACTGAGCACTCATTCTCTCCATAAGCAGGAATGATGAACGGATTCCAACTTTCCTAGCAGTACTTTCTTTTTTCTTCTTTATTTTCTAGCATTCGCACAAAAATGTATACCCGTATGAAAACTGGAACATTTATGAAACTGAAACAAAAATATGCCTCATAACTGCAAACTTGTTAAGAAGAAAATTGGAAGTCTTGATTTCCCTTAGGTACTACACAGTATTCCCTCTTAAGAATTAAGAAACGACGGCTCTCACAGTTTACGACGTAAGACATTAACGTCACATTTCACTACTTCTTCATGATCGCGCGTGTAGCGCAGGGATCGAAAGAGCCCTGCAATACAGATTGGATCGATGGCAGCGGAGCAGGCTCAGCTAGCTTTCCATCTTTCCAGGATTGGCAACGATACCTCCGGTCCGTGGTCTGCAAATTGGTACCGGACTAGACTGGGAGGAAAGCAGCACTGGCTCGATACATCTGTAGGCCACCTCGAGCCATTGCAAACGGCAGATATCATCCATGGCGCATCCCTCAGGGACTGACCAACGCCTAGAGCTTTAGTTTCTTTTATTTGTCTTCATGATCAATTCACAGCTGCTTTATAAGGGACTTTGAATATAGAGACTGATTAGATCTACAATACGCAATTTGAACAAAACCGACAAACATAATCAGATCAACTAAAAGAAAAAAACAAAGCAAAAAGAACAGCACCAAGAAACATACACGCACCTGCGCCATCTCGTCACGATAAACCTTTTTCACCAAGGATGGATAATCGCTAAGGAGGTACCGGAGCTTTGCACCAATGTTTTTTAGTTCCGCTTCATCCAACGCCGGCTCGTTTGTCCTCCAAGCGCTTACCCGAGCAACTTCCTTCCTTGATTCCTGAACACTCCAAAAATTGGCAACAAATAAGGGGAATAGGAATGTGACTATTCCTATTTCATACTGGCGAAATTAAAAGAAGCCATACACAGCGTTCTAAAGTTCGGTTTGTTGTACGGCACTTTCCCTTATAAAATCCCATGTCCTCCATCAGCGTTTCAAGTTTGGGCAAAACGTCCCTCTCGCGTTTCTTTACCGATTCCATCACTGGAGTGTCTGAACGGTGCCCAAGAAGACAGTCACTCAAAATATCCGGTCATTGTGAAATGACGCACGATAACTTAATAATAATCAAGTAACACAGTCCAAATGCTAAAAATTTTTCACATATTTCAACCAAAAAGGACTTAAAACGTAAGCTAATAAAACTTGGAGTACAAAAAAGCAAACCTATGACGTTCGCGGCAATATCGATTGGGACAGTTTTCTGTCAGTGGCGCGAGAAATAGATTTGCTGAACCGAGTTATGATTACCTCTTCTGTATTCTGTGTGATGGTCTTGTTGATTTATATTTATGTTGACCGATGAGTGTAGTGAACTCTATATTCCTCTTAATATGCTTTATAGATTCTAACTTTAGTCATAAAGGCTTATGAGAATAACCCAGGTCGTGTTTTCTACAGTAATTGAATCCCGCTGGAAAAATTGGATGCCTTCTCCGAAATTTTCTTAGGTGATTAAGCTAGCACGAGGTCCTAATAAAAAGTATTGTGGACGTTCGTCCTCGCGATGTGGGTGTTCTTTGTGGAAAGAACTCAGCTCTCTCTGTTCATCGAACCCTTAGGGATGCGCCATGCATTCGACACCATTCGTAGCATCGTTTGATGTGATCGAATGCTTATCTAGCCTTTCCAATGACTTGTGGCAGCCTAGCGATGTGTCAAGTCATTACCAATTTCCCGATCTGGGAAACATGGATACTCTAGTAAGCTTGTGCCGCGCGATTCAAGTCAAGGAATGCTTGGTGGTCCCGCGTGACTTCTTCGTGTACCTCAGCCTGATTTTTTAGGCCGAGCCAGGCACTTTTCCCACCCATGGTAGGACTTTGTGTAGCTGTTCTCCAGCAAGTAGTTGGAATAGAACAGCTTTCAGTCAACAGAACGATGAGCGTTTAAAAGAAGCTATTTACTATGCGAATGAAAACTTATGCTTTATTCTGCTGAGGTTATGAAAGCTTTCGGCTGAGTGAACTGAGTCAATTTGACCCTTCCAGGTGTTGGAGAAGGTGAAACCGCAGAAACGTCCGCTCTCAAATCGTGTAAAAACATCTCCGTGTTTTTTTTTACAAGGAAACAGGGGAAACAACCTTGCTGTTCTTTAAGACTTTTTCTAAGGCCCACTGGTAGACTTCTTATATTCTGCGGATTCTCATGGCATCTCCATTGCAGCGTGGGCAAGTTTATGAGGATCGTTTTAAATTTCCATGTTGTCCTGGGGATTCTGGATGCGGAAAGTGCAAGGTTCGTTCTATTCTGTTCACTTTTACTTTACTAACTAGTGTACTAGTTATTGTATGGAAGACTTTGTGGTTTTTTTTTTCGCCTTTTGCTAACTAGAATTATTTCTATTGTACGCAGTTGCTGCTTTCCATTCCAGTGTACTTACTTGTTTGATACTTGGATGGCCCGTCTTCACCGGTTGTGCGGGCCCCAGCATGATTTCCTCACTGGATTCCCGAGATCAGTCAAACCGAAGTCTGCCCCAGATCGTCGCCACCATAAGCAGTCTCCGCCATTGTAGATCAGAGGGAGATTTGCAGCCATGCTAACAGTTTCATACCAGGAGGGCGGTGGAACCTGGTATTGATTTACTCTTAGTTAGGCTTCTTCGTGGAAATGACGTACTCCTTGTCAACTCGGGAGACCATGCCGGGGGTAGATCCCTCCGCTGTACATCGCAATCCAGCAACCAGGATCCCAAGCTGAGAAGGAGTCCGACCCTTCGTTAAGGAAGCCCTGCTAAGAGTAAACCAATACCAGGATCCACCACCGTCTTGGTATCAAACTAATCGCACGTGGCGAATCTCCTTCTGTTACACAAGGGCGGCGACAGCCTGTGGTGGTAGCGACGAGCTAGGGCAAACTTTGGCCAAGCTGACTTCGGGTCTCTAGGGAATCTCAATGGCTAAACAATCAGAACTCCAACAAAAAAATTGCAGATTATGCTGAGGCACGCACAACCATTGAAAACGGGCCGTCCAAGTATCCAAGTGAGTATTACCATTGCTAAGCTAATGTTCTAAGTGGCTATCAAAAGGCGAAAGAGCAGAAAGCCGGAGAACTGTCTTCAGTTTCCTCATCACACAGTGTGCGCTTCATTCTGAAATCAAGGCTGTGAGGTGTTGAGCCACGATGTGCAGCGCGGTATTGATCTCTCCAGGAGGGTTTCCCAAGCTTAGAAAGAGTCCGGCTTTTCCACCAGGAAGCTCAGTTAAGAGTAAACCACTACCGGGATCCACCACCGTCCTGGTATCAATGTCGCATGGTGGCAAATCTCCCTCAATCCACCAGGGCGGCGAGTGCCTGTGGTGTGTTGTGACCTCGGGCAGAATTTAGTCTGGCGGACCTCGGGATGCCAGGGAACCACAGTGGATAAGCTAGCAAAACTCCGAAGAGGTGGAAGTTATGCTGGAGCCCTCAAAACCAGTGAAGATGGGCCATCCAACTATCCAAGTAGGAAGGGCAAAATGCGTTTAGGACTAAAATCAATAGATGCGCCATAAAAAGAGGGTTTAGAGGAATGCATATGTCTTCAAAATAGTTCAGGCATTCTCGTGAAGGCTGTTTTGATGGCGGCGATGCTCAGTATTCTGGACAGAGTGGGCCAGGACCGTCAACCACGAAATCCTTGTTTTGTTTAGGAACAACGGACACCGAGCTAGCTGTTCAAAGCAGTTGTGGTGCATTAAAGGCATGTTCTCTTCTGGTTCATTTCTAAAGCATGATAGAGTCGCTCTGTTTATGAAGTGTGTAATCACGGTCGATGGAAACTGGCTCTTGTATAACAAAATCGAACAAAAAAGTGCTCTAACTTCCTTAACCACAGCAATAGCCAGATTACAACTAAAAATGTTATGCTATTTGTCTGCTTCGATTTAAGCCCTAAAAAATGCTCTCGGTGTTGATCTATCTTTGAGGGTTGTGCTATGCATTCGGCTTCATTAAGCATCGTTGGAGGTGATCTAATTCATATCTGGCCTTTACAATGACTCGCGGTGGCCTACCGATCTATCGAGTCAGTTTGACTATCCTCTTTGACAAATCTGGTACCAATTTGCCGACCCTGGAGCGATGGAGTGCTCGGGCCAGGGGCACAGCGATCGATCCCATGTGGGCTGCAGGGCGCCTTCGACCACTGTGACACGCGATGCGTCTTTTGATTGAAGGTAATATAGTAGTATGAGTAAGTAGTAGAAAGCTATCAGCTATGCATAACTGTCGAAAACGAAGGTAGTAGTAGCATGAGTTACGAACAGGAAGCCGAATTGTTAGCAATTACGCCCGTACGCTTTGATTTCAATGCATACATACCCGAAAGTTGTCTGTCTATTAAGCTTGCAGTTGATTGTGGAAATTCGATGGCTCTTGCTATTGTCAGGTATGTATCGAATATCGGTATCGATGATCACAGGTCAGGTGCAGTAATTTCTCTTCCTAAAAAAAATTTTGCAAGTGTTTTTAAAGAGTGCGCTTGATAGTGTCCCCATTTGCTGATTTCTGTGTTGAGAGATGCGAATTCGTCCCTTTGGCATCTTCAGGAAAATTCGTCTAACGTGTATTCCACGAACGATCCCAGTGAACAGGTCCGTTATAGACATTGTTGTAATGACTGATATTCTTCATAGTTGGAAATAGAATGAGAAACGCAGAAGGTTTTCTAGAATTAAATACCACTAAATGGTCTTCGTTTGTAGTCGTTTTTGTTTTGTTCATTACTTCATTTCGTGAAGGTTTTCTCCATCGATTCCATCGACATTTTCTCGAAAGTGCTTCCTGTTCTTGAGACACTAGCCGTTCTATAGAAATAATAGAACCTGTTACAAGGGTATGTAAAGTTTGCTGCACATGTAGTTCAACTGAGAATTTTGAGTTTTGCAAGTTCGTTTTCAGATTGGTGGTTATGTTGATGTGCTGCTGCGATCTGTCAAACATTGTGCCATTGGTAGCACAAGAACGCAAGAGGCAGTAGTTCTAGTGATGGAGAAGCGATGGAAAACAGCGATCTTTTCAGCAGTGACGAAGGGTTTGCAGAGTTCTTCTCAATGTTTCGTTGTCGAACTTGCTTGTAGCTTTACCTGCTTCTTAGGTTTAGTCGTATTCACGGTGTTCGTTGTCGAGTAGGGGTTTATAGGATGTGGAGTGGTCCACTTTTCTCGCCACCGGAGGCTAAGTGCTTCTGATGCCGAAAGCTTAGGTTATGATGTAAATCGAGTTTTTATGCCATTTGAAAGCACAGGACATTTCACAGACGAAGATAGGTTAAGGCTTCATATAAAAAGCGAAGAATTGGTGCGAATTGTTCATAGTTCTGTCGACTTCAAATCAGGCTCTTCGAAAATTTCAAGCTAGAGTGTGTGGCCCTACTTTACCAACGTTTTTATTTTTTATGAGACTTTTTTCTTTTCGAGGTCCAAACTGACCTGTTCGCCGTTTTAGCATGTTAGAAATATACATAGAATAGCAATCGACCGCAGCCTGGATTGAACATTTTAGTGGGGATTGTGTGTTTTCATCCATCAAACACATCCATGCAATTTGTGGACAACATGCACAATTCTGTCGTCATCACCACCCTCTGCAGTTGAAGAGGTTGGTAATCTCTAGCTCTTCGTTGTTTTGGCGTTCACAGTGGTGTTTGTCAACACAAGTGGTAGTTGTTAAGGTGTTTTAGAGTTACCGAATATCGTAGCCAAGAGAAAGTCGCTGCAGCCCATAATGAATTCACCTCGTGCCGCCCAGTTCTGCACGGTCCTCACACAGAACCCACACATTTGACTTTGCGAACAGTAAGAATCATATGTTTAGTATTATGTATGCGACCAACATTCTGCTAATAATTCCTTTTTAAACCCAACCAATTTTTTTTTCTTATTTTTCTTCGAGAAATCGCGTTTTAATAAAGGATTTTTCAAATTGCCTTTATTAAATCATTATGGGCGAAACAACTAGGAGAACTAGGTCTAGCACGGATATTTATGAAAACCC